GAAGGGAGAAGTGTGAGAGCAGGAAGACCAGTGAGGAGGCTACTGCAATCATCTAGGTGCTTGGAGCTAGGGTGTGGCCAGTGGAGGTGGAGAGAAGCAATGGATGTGGAATTGGGGGTTTGGGTGGCACAATCAACAGCTAAGGGGATAAATATGGGCATGAGAGAAGCTTCTCGCCTTAGCACCTGGTGGACGGGGATGCTGTTTGTGGAGATAGGATGACCAGCGGACAAGTTCAGAGGGTGGGAGGTGGACATGTTAATAAAAAGCTCAATTCTGGACACACTACATTTGAGGGTCCGGGAGACATGGAAGAGAGGTACTCTTGTAGGCAGTTGCATTTGGGGGCACGCCAGCACCATGGAGAAGGGCCTGCTCCCTCTGAGAGGGGTCAGGCAGGGTGCCCCGTTCAGCCTGTGAAATGCTGGCTCCCTGCTTACCAGCTCTGTGATGGGAAATTTCCTCATCTCTGGAATGGGGCTTCTAACTGCACTCACATTATGGGCTTATTGTAAAAATTGTATGAATTAATACATGGGAAGAACTTAGATTTCAATAGCAAGTATTCAATAAATGTCAGCTTCCTATAACAACTATGTATATCATCATCACCATTAACTACAATAATTCTCTTGCCATTTGTCTCTTCCTAATTGAAACCAAGGACCTCTCAAGCTGGTAAACACTGCTGATGTTCTTGGAATTAATTGTTGAGCAGGCTGGGGCTCAGTGAGCACGGGGTAGAATCTGTGTCGTTTCTCCCTCCTCCTTGCCCCATGCACGGTGCCCAGTAATAGTTATCCAGTTACATGAATTTTAGCTTGACTCCAGGGGGTGGGGGGGAGGATGCTTATTTGAGAGAATCAATCAAGCATTCAGAAGAGCAGACAGGAAAGAGGAAATTGCAAACTCAATGACAAGGACAATCCGCAGCCTCTTTGCTCCCAAGAAAGAGGCTCTGGTTTCACAAAGCACCCTCTTCCCAAATTAGACAGTGGTCTAGGAGAAGAAATTTCTCCTTACAATGAGTCAAACCTGATACCTCCCTGAGAGTTGCATGTGTGTTCATGTACATACGTGTACACACAACACACACACACACACACACCCATCAAGGCTCCAGACAGTGAAACACATGCAGACCCCTCCTCTTCCCCAACCCAAAGCCACAATGACATATGCCCCAGTCCCTTCCCTGTTGCTCTCACCCTAATGTCTCTTGTCCATTGGGCTTGAAGCTTCTTCCTTGACCATTTTTAAAAATATATTTTTATTGAGAGGAAGGGAGAGAGACAGAAACATCAATGATGAGAGAGAATCATTGATCTGCTGTCTCCTGTATGCCCCACACTGGGGATCAAGACCAAAAACCAGGCATGTGCCCTGACTGGGAATCGAACCCATAACCTCCTAGTTCATAGGTCGACGCTCAACCACTGAGCCACACCGGCCGGGCCTCCTTAACCATTTTTAGGGAACATTGGTCCTTCAGATGAAGCCTCCTTCACAAAGGTGTTCCCTCTTTCCCTAGAGACAGGTGCCGTCCTCACTACAGTGGGATCCATGGACTCCCCTTGGGTTCTTTTAGGGTCAAGGCAGGTGGCTCTGCCCATTCCCAGATAAAACAGTTCAATTTCAGATAAACAGTGAATAATGTCTTAGTGTCCGTTTGTCCCATGCAGTATTTGCTAGAGTATCTTTTATTGGCTAAATCCAAAGCCCTTAGCAATGAGTCCCAAGTCCAAAGCCCCATGAACTCGCCCTATGGCACGGCCCCATTCTGTGCCCCAGAAGTTTGAACTTGGGTGCTGATGCCGTGGTCTAAGGCCAGGCCCGGAGTCCTGCATTCCCCCCTGACCTGGGGAGCGCTCAGGCTTCCCAGGAGTGTCCAGCAGCGTTGGGGTGATCTTTCATCTGGGAGTCCAGGATCCTGGTCCACTCTGGTCCCCTAAATACCTCTCTTAGTTCTTCCCTGGGCCTTGGAGCCTGACCTGATACAGTTCCTGGAGCATGTATACAGACTCCAGACCCCCTATCAACCCCAAACTCGGGTCCTCTGGGATCTTCGCTGCATCAGCTCCCCCTGGTGGCCAGAAGCAAAATCCTAGTGTCACCTATTGAAAGCCTAACACAGTGGTGGGTAAACTCATTAGTCAACAGAGCCAAATATCCACAGTAAAAGGATTGAAATTTCTTTTGAGAGCCAAAACCGACTTCTGCGCATGGGCCACGAAGTTTCAATTGCACTATACGTGCTCACCCACACGTGGTATTTTGTAGAAGAGCCACACTCAAGGGGCCATAGAGCTGCATGTGGCTCTCGAGCCGCAGCTTGCCGACCGACCGCTGGTCTAACATATCCTACCTACCGCAGGGTTCCTGTATCAGGACAGCCTTGGGCCAAGGCTTCTCTGTCAGCAGAGATGAACGATATATCAGGAACCCAATGAAAGGTCACATATACACCCACCCCACCCACCTCCTGAGGCTCTCTGTGGCTCACCTCTCTGCTATTCTTTCCAGAACCTAGCCTTGCTGCTGAGCAGGAGTCTTAGCGCCATAAACAACACCCCCTCTCCTTTCTTTCGAGGATAAAAAGGAAGATAATCTCCCCCCCACAAACTGAATCCTTCCTATACCACCCTGTGGGTTAGTGAGAGGCAGGAATGGGACCAGGGATGCTGAATGCCTGCCTCCTTTCCTCCATTTCCACCCTCTGGGTTGGCAAGAGAAGGGACAGGAGGGGATCTGGGACAGCGCTGACTGCGGCTGATGAGACTGTGTGGGCCACCAGCCGCAGGGCCGTCACCTGAGCAATGGGCACCTGCGTGTGGAGAAGACAGACCCACGGCACCTGCCCCACCCCAGCAGCCACAGCCTTCACTCGGCCCCTTGTCCCGTCTCTTTGTCACCGGCAGCTTTTTCATCCATGTGGCTAGTCCCTTTCGCACTGACATGGCTCTTACTACCCGACAAACCCATCCTCTGCTCTCTCCCAGAGCTGGCTTTCCAACCATACCAGTACCACTTCCAGCCATACCAGTGCCACTTCCAACCATGCCAGTACCACTTCCAGCCATACCAGTACCACTTCCAGCCATACCAGTACCACTTCCAGCCATACCAGTGCCACTTCCAGCCATACCAGTGCCACTTCCAACCATACCAGTGCTCTGCCTGCTTCAAAATGTTAGGTGGCTCTTAAGGGTGACATTTGGAGCCTTGAGAATCAAGTCAAGTTCCCCTGTCATCCAACCCACCCAACCACCCCACCCCCCCTCAGCTCTGGCACCCTGCCTGCAAGTTGAAGACCCCAGAAACCCCGGGACCTTCCCTCCCTCTTTTCACCTGCCATGCCTCCTTGCCACACTTCTGCTCATACGAGCTCAAAGTTCTTCTGCTTTCTTTCCTCCTATCCCTTCCTTATTTAAGTCATCTCCTCCAGGAAGCCTTGCTGTATCCCCTAGGCTCTGTTCGGTGCATGCCTCCGATCCCTCAAGCACTGCATGCACCACAGGGGGTCTCATGGCCAGTGCCTGTGCCCTCTCCCCTTCCAGGCAGTGGGTCCCAGAGCAGGGACAGTGACATGTCTTCGGCTCCTAGTGCAGAGCTTGTCACCAACAGGTGCTCCATAAGTGCTTGCAGATCTGATTCCGTCGGTGATGGATCAGTTCGCGGTGGGAAGAAGGTAGCATCCTGTACCAGCAGAGTTTGCATTGCCTTCTGGAACCTGTTTATTTTTCTCTCACCTTCCCTGACCTCTCGCTTGCTCGCTGCGCCTGGCTGCCTGGGTTCATTTCCGAGGCACCTGGCTATCGGTGACCACATTCCATCTTCCCAGGTCTCTACCCTGCTTCTGCTTTGAATGTCCAGCATCCACCTGCCCTGTGTTCGTTCAGCTAACGTTTGTAACAGCACCATGTGCTGGGCGCTATCTGGCACTGGGATGCAGACACACTAGCCAGGGTCTCTGCTTTCACCGAAGTCCCAGCCTGGAGGGGAAGGCAAGCAAGGGAAGAGGCAAATAGTATGTGCCATGATGGGGTCGGGGGGCACAGTAGATACTCAGGCAGGCTCTCCAGGCTGCCGTGGTTCACACACATCCCAGCACCTCTGCTTGCCAGCTGTGTGGCCTTGGGCAAGTCCTTTCACCATATCTGTTTCCCCGTGGTTAACAGAGGGGTAATGAGCCAGCCAATCTGGCTCCGTGGATAGAGCATTGGCCTGGAGACCAAAGGGTCTTGGGTTCAATTCCAGTCAAGGGCACATACCTCAGTTGGGTTGCAGGCTTCTCCCTGGCCAGGGCCCTGGTCAGGGGCTTCTGCAGGAGACAACCCATGGATGTGTTTCTCTCACATCAGCATTTCTCTCTGTCTTTCCTTCTCTCTTCTACTTCTCTATAAATCAGTGGGAAAATATCCTTGAGTGAGCAAAAAAAAAAGTGGGTTAAAAATAGTATTTAAGCCAAAACCCATTTGGCTCAGTGGATAGAGCATTGGCCTGCGGACTGACAGGTCCCAGGTTTCATTCTGGTCAAGGGCATGTACCTTGGTTGCAGGCACATCCTCAGCAGGGGGTGTGCAGGAGGCAGCTGATAGATGATTCTCTCTCATCAATGTTTCTAACTCTCTATCCCTCTCTTTTCCTCTCTATAAAAAAATAAATAAAATATATATATTTTTTTAAATAGTATTTACCTCTTGGGGTTGAGTGAGGATTAATTCATGTAAAGAATTTAGGGTATCCTACCCCCCAGTAAACATTCAGTAACTAGTAGCCCAGAGTCTACTTTGCTCCCTGCGTGAAGGAACATGGAGGACAGGACAGATCCACAGCAGGACAAAGGGTCAAGACGTCCACATTCTAACTAAGGCCCAGGAGTGGGCCGTGGACATGAAAAGTGAACACAACATCTCCTGGTGCTCCCTGACTCTGGGGGCCTTCCAGGCCTGCCCCTGGGGAGGCCGCCGCGCCCAGCTGACCCTCTCTCCCTCCCTTAGGGCTGACGACTGCTTTTTTGCTTCTCGGAAGCTGGACGCAGTGGCCATTGAAGCCAAGTTTAAGCAGGACCTGGGTTTCCGGATGCTGAACTGCGGGCGGACGGATCTGGTGAAGCAGGCCGTGTCCCTCCTGGGGCCCGATGGGATCAACACCATGAGCGAACAGGTACGGGGTCCTCTGGGTGTCTGAACACACACCCCCACCTTCACCAGGATCGATGCCCCATGGCAAGGTGGACACAGCAGGCACCGGACAGAGGCTCTACCTACAGAGGACTTAGGGTGACTTTTTTATATTATTTTTTAGTTTTTAAAATAAAAATACCCTTGTTCATCTTTATAGAAGTTGCACGTGGTCATTGCAGCTGAAATGGAAAAGAGAGAAAAAATAGGCCTATTCCAGAAAGGAAATCATCCCCTCTCCCGGATAACCATCCTATTTATATTTAGTGTGTGTCCTTCACGTTCTTTTTCCAGCCTGGTTAAAATTAGTTGCTCAGCCGGCCTGTTACTACATCACAGAACAAATCGAGACAAATTTCCACCAAACTTTCAGGGTACGTTTAAGAGGCGCAGAAGTCATTCTGGGGGACCCCAGGAGGAGCCTCTGAGACAGGCAGCTGACCCCCAAGCCCCTGACACTGAGGTGCAATGAAAGGTTCTTTAATATTAAAAATCATTAAATAATTTTGCTCCCTTTTAATGGCGACTTAACATGGTCATATTATTTATTCATTTAGCCACACTCGGTTGTTGGGTGTTTAGATTGTTTCTAATCACTTATATCAATAACGCTGAGCTAAATAAACTTATACAAATCTTCGTTCGAATCCCTGATTGTCTCATTAGGGAAACTCTTAAGAGTGGAAATAGTGGTTCAAACTCATTAATCTTTCTGAAGGTTTTTGTTTTTTTTTTAAATCTCAAATTACTATTCCAGAGACTTGGTTTCCTTGTACACACCCTCCAGTTATATATATATGTGTGTGTGTGTTCCCTGTGAATCTTTTACTTACCTTTTGCCTGGTTTTCACTGGAGCTTTACTGTCTTTTTTATTTAGAAGAGCTCTTTACATATGAAACACATGACCCCTTATTATAATGTGACAGATATGTCTCCATGCACTGCTTACCTTTTCGTCTTGTTTACGTTTTCAATTTCATGCCCTCCGTGCTGTAGTGATTTTCCTTTGCGATTCTTTTATTATTTTTGTGCCTAGTTGACTTTTATGGTTTTAATTTTGTCCCTGTGTCGCTAAATCAAACCAAAAATGGTTTTAGTGGATGGTGTCAGATAAGGCTCTTCTTACCCGGATAGTTCCCTCCCTCCACAACCACCACACTGTTTATGGAAATATCCATCCATCCCTTCTGTTGGTTGGGGTACGTTGTTTATAATAAACAGGAGTCGTGGGCAAATGCTTATGGAATTTTTGAAAGCCATTCCTCATTCGCTTGTAAATGGTAATGTCAAAGCAGATGTCAACTCTGGGAGTGTGCACAGAGGTATCCAATTTCCCTTGATCCTGACCGGTATCTTGAATACAGTAAAGATGATGCTTGTTACATTGAGAAAGAGAAAATGTCAAGGAAACGGTGTTTGTCAATTCGATCGCTTGGCGGCGGATGCTGAGAACCCAGAAAGTTGAAGTCAGCCATTTGCTTCAGCAAACACTCCTAGGGCTGTGGCACCCTAACACAGACAAAGGAAAACCCTCCAACTTAAGCAACGATAAATGCAAAAAAAGAGAGACAATTTATGGTCCCTTCTTGCCTTCGTGTTGGTTTGCAAACTATGGAGGATTGTGACCTTAGGGCTGTTTATTATTATTTTTTTAATATATTTTATTGATTTTTTTACAGAGAGGAAAGGAGAGGGATAGAGAGTTAGAAACATCGTAGAGAGAGAACCATCCATCAGCTGCCTGTTGCACACCCTCCACTGGGGATGTGCCCCACAACCCAAGTATGTGCCCTTGACCAGAATCAGGGACCCGGAACCTTTCAGTCCATAGGCTGATGCTCTATCCACTGAGCCAAACCGGTTTAGGCTATTATTATTTTTTTAATGTCAGATTTTGAGTGCAGAGATAGCCTTCTAAGCAAAAGTAAGAATTTGCATGTTAGCATCAAGTGACCCAGCCACCTGGTAACCCTTCTTCATCCTCTGGTTTCTCACTCCCAACAGGGCATGACCCCCCTGATGTACGCCTGCGTCCGTGGGGACGAGGCGATGGTGCAGATGCTGCTGGATGCCGGAGCTGACCTGAATGTGGAGGTGAGGGTGCAGGGGGCTGCAGGGCCCCTCGGCCTGGCATCCCCAGGGGAAAGTGAATCAAGAGCGGGGGGAGGGGCTTTCTCTCCCAAGAGCCACTGCTGAGGGCAGGGCGCTCTGTCCAGCAAAAAGGTCAGACCAGCAGATGGATTCCCTCCATCCTAAGGCCCCAGCCCAGGGAAACTCCAAGGAGCTTGTTATGTTTCACATAAAAAGAGCCAACAAAGCCACAAGGCGCACCAGCTTTTAATCGGCTCAGGGGCATAGTCTCTGCTCCTTATGGTAATTTATTCCTTCTGGGATCAGAGCAAAGAGTGCCCTCCTGAGCCACCAGCCCCTTCCCTCTGCACCGTGCAAAGCCGGGCCCTGTCCCAGAGCTGAGGCATGACTCCCCCTCCCTCACCGAATCCATTGGCGACCCTGGTTGGCTGAGTTGCGGTCACGGGTCGTAAAGCTGATCACAAAGCTCTGAAGTAGCGTGCTGGAGCAAAAAGCACACCCAGCAAGCTTTAGAATTTGACACGGGTTCAAATTCTGACACTGTCTGGGCCTTGGTGACGTGCTTTTGTGCTTGGGCAAGTGGTTTCTGAGCCTCGGTGTCCCCATCTGCAAAATGGGAGAATAATCACAGCCATCTCAGAGAGCTGTTGGAAGAAACAAATACAGGGGGGAACTAGCATCAGTTTGGGACTCAGTATTGGTGTCCTTCCCTGCCGGGGGTTGTAATAGGTGAAATCACACTTTTTTTTTTCTTTTCTTTTTTTTCTTTTTTTTTTTTTTTACCATGTTCTGTGCTGTCTTAAGACCCACTCTCTCCACCAGCCAGATATTGGCAGCCTTGAAAACTGGGGAAATTGGTATGCCACCGTCCTAACTCAGCAACCCTGTGAAACCTTTTTAGGTCAAAATTAGACGCTCTTGTCGATTTAGTAATGTGGGTTTTGGGCAGCTTTTCTATTTGCTTTTGGGGTGTAGTGTTGTGAGGTTTTTTTAGTGAGTTTTATATTCATCGGAGGAAAGCAGTCAATAGACATAGTTTGGGATCCATCACCATTTTGGATCATACAAGGTTCAAGTATTGGGGATTTCATACACACACACCCCTGTTATGCATCCATAGCACCGTGCAGACCCTGAGAGGGCTCTCCAGCTCAGGTTCCTGGAGGGGTTCCCCGGTCCTTCCTAACCCAGCCCCCGGCTCTCAGCTCCAGGCTTCCCCTGCAGGGGAGGAGTGAACTCAGCTCCTCTGAATGCAGCAGGCATCTCAGGGACATGGCCCCAGGAATGTTCGGGGAAACCATGTGTGGATGCCCGTCCTGCAGGACCCCAACCTTCAGCTGCCCAGACACCTCTCTTGTGGCCAGGGGTGTTTTGAGACACCCCCCTGCCCCATGCCAAAAGACCAGTGTCAGAGTGCTTATTTGTGGTGCTTTTGGGGAAGTTTTTATGCCCAGTTTCCAGAAATCTGAGGGCCTTTGTCAACCAGGGAGGCAGCAGAAGAGTGGACTGAGGACAGTGTGGGTGAGCTGTGACCAGATGGTGCCACTTCCTCCATCCAATGGTGGGCTTCCCTGGCTCAAAAGCTGGAAGCAGGTCTCCCCTTGCCTGGGGTTTGCTGCCACCGGGAACATCCCCTAAAGGTGTGGGTGAGCTGGCAGTGGCATCTCACGTAGGTCTCAGAACCACCACCTTTCCTGCAGCAGAGAGAGGAGTCAGGCAGGTGAGCTGGCTCGTTGTGGCCACCCTCACACCATCTCCAAGGCACCTTCGCAATGGCCGGAGGTCATCCGTTGAATTGCATTCAGATGAGAAGCAAAGGAGTTCTTATTTCTCACCACCCCCATCACCGACGCACCGGCCAGGGCGTCCATTGTACGCCTTTCCCGCGTGCCCAGCCACAGCGAGGTCAGCCCTGCTCGTCTACGTATTGTGAAGGTCACGTTCTGAAAATAACTTCAATTTGTTTATAGGTTGTCAGTACTCCTCATAAATATCCGTCCGTCCACCCCGAGACCCGCCATTGGACGGCTCTGACTTTTGCTGTGTTGCATGGACATATTCCTGTAGTTCAGGTATTAACGCATTTCCCTATCCACACCTGACCTTTAACTTCACCTCTCCCATGATGCAAATCTGTACCTCTCCCGGCATGCATAGTCACTGAGACATTCGTGTTGGTTCACTGCAATTAAATAGAGCACATGCATCTCATATGCGTGAAAGCGTCGTATGGAAGGATCTCTATGGCCCAGCGTTAGCCAGTATGAAATTGTCACCTACCCACATGCAGCCTCACACAACACACGCCTCGGCCGACCTACGGAAGGTGTTCCCCGTGGCTCGGGGGCGGGGCCCGAGCTGTGGCTTTGTGGATTGGTTCATTTCATTTGCCGTAACATGAACACAAAACTCGGCTGGTGTGAGACCTTGGAGACCCTGGTGTTTGTGGAGAATCTAGTGGCTTCCAACCAGTGGGAAGACACATCCAGGTTGCCAAGGCAACGGGTTCCAAAAGATGCTTGCTTGGATCCCACATGGTGACCATCGGATCCAGGAGATCTAGAGCAGGCCTTGGGCTGTGTCTTCTGAGACAGCTCCCACGCACGGAGAGATGTCTTCATCCGGGGCCCTGTGGGCACGCGCGTGTTGCTTGCACCTTCTCTGGCTGTTGTTGAGTTGGTGTTCGTTGACGAGCCTTCCAGTACATTCTAGATCTTAAACGTGGTCTTCCCTGCATCAGAAAGGAGAGGCGAGCAGCCAGGCCTGGACCCCTCCTGACCCCACAGGGAGTGCCGAGTCCATCAGGAACTCGCCTCCGTTGATGGGGTCCAAGCCTCTGAGGATGAACGGAGAGCAGGGAACAGTGAGAGAGGCATCGCTGGGCAATGGTGGGATTGTTGTTGCCTAGGGGATGGGGATCCTGGAGACAGATCCAAAGCCACGTTTCAGGAGGTCCAATCCCGTTAGAGGAGTCTAGGGAAGAAGAGGCGGGAGGTGGCCTGGCAGGCGCAGATGCCATCCTTGAACAAGCAGTGGCATCCCCGGCCTTTTGATCCGGAGTAGGCACAGTGGGCAGCCGAGCAGAGCCAACCCGAAGTCAGGTGCACAGGTCACGGGAAGCCACACGTGCAGCCCGCTCCTGGCTGCACCCTCAGGGCCCCCCACGGGTGATAAAGAAAACAGGTTCTCCGCCCCTCACCCCTACCCCACTACCCCAGCCCGTTTGCATCAGCAGCAGCACATTCACCGGGAGAAACACGGATACCTTGGGAAGGCACAGAACTGAGTCCCGTGAGACAGAGCTTTGGGGAAGCTCACAGGCCACAGGGCGCCTGCTGGCCAGGAAACGCAGCCTCTGCTGACCTGTCCACGGAGATCCCGGGACCCTGGCCCCAGCCGGCCCAGGTGCTCTCCAGAACTCTTGATCTGTGATTCCATGAGACCACTTGAATGCTCTTTGACCCAAACAGGGAGTCTTCCAGCTCCTGGTTCTAGGAGCTTCTAGAAACATTCGTGTACGTGTCAGTCCCCTGGAGAGCCTGTTCAAAAGCAGACTCCCGTCCAGTAGGTCTGGGGCGGGCTGAAGGGCCATGTTCCCCACCAGCTCCCAGGTGCCCCCGGTGCGGGCCTGTAGGCCACACTGAGTAGCTCAGGGTCCAGTAGATCCCAGCAGCTCCCAGCTCCCGCTCCAGGCCCAGCCGCCCTCGCCCTGTGCCTGTGGCCGCGGACCCAGCGGAGAGCAGGAACATTGGCATGGCACTGATTTCCTCCAGTTTTCCTGACGCCCCCTCAACATCTGATGTGTCCTTTCAACATGTCCGTGGCGCCTCTCCCTCCGCAGCTCCTTCTGGACGCCGGGGCCAAGGTCGAGGGCTCCGTGGAGCACGGCGAGGAGAACTACTCGGAGACGCCCCTGCAGCTCGCCGCCGCTGTGGGTAAGAGGTGCCCATCCTCACCCTGGCCGAGGGCCTCCACTGACTCTGTGTTCGCTTTTATGCGCTTATGAAACCCCTTCTCTGGGCTTGCAGGCAATTTTGAGCTGGTTAGTTTGCTGTTGGAGCGAGGTGCGGACCCCTTGATAGGAACCATGCACAGGAACGGAATTTCTACCACCCCGCAGGGGGACATGAACTCTTTCAGCCAGGCCGCAGCCCACGGACACAGGTAGGCTAGGGCGGGCCGGAGCCCCAGGCCCCAAGCGGTGCTTGTTAAAAATGCAGATTCCCAGGCCTGCCCCAGACCTGCCGCCTCTCTGGGTGTGGGGCCCAGAGGCAGTGCAGGCCCACCCCATGCTGCACCCATCTGCCTGGACTGACTGTTCCGTCCTCTCCCAGCCAGCGTCCACTGTGCGGGCATTAATCCCCTCTCAGAAGCGAAGTGAGAAGAATCCCTTTAAAAAGAATAAATCACTTCCTCGCCTCCCATCCACCATTCCCTCTGGATGAATCCCATCGGTTTTATTGCACATCACCCCACTTAAAGCGGAATCACAGGTTCCAGAGCCTTCTAGATACTCGAGGCAAACACTTAGGTCCCTGGTTGTCCTTGAGGTAACACAGCCAGCCATGCCCCACCATCTCCTCCAGAACGGAGCGCCCGCCACCCCAACTTGGTCCCGTCCTCTTCCCGTGTCCCAGGGAGTGGTCCCCACCCGTCCCCGCCCTGGCAGAGCCCTCCCCCGCCTCTGAGTGTCTTCCTCTCTGGGTTTATGATTGACAGGAACGTGTTCCGCAAACTGCTCGCCCAGCCAGAGAAGGAGAAGAGCGATATCCTGTCCCTGGAAGAGATTCTGGCCGAGGGGACAGACCTGGCGGAGACAGCCCCGCCCCCCCTGTGCGCCAGCCGCAACAGCAAGGCCAAACTGAGAGCCCTGAGGGAGGCCATGTATCACAGCGCTGAGCATGGCTACGTGGATGTCACAATTGACATCAGGAGTATAGGTCAGTGCGGGCGCCTTCCGCCCCTGGGCACGGCACCACTGCCCAGCACACACACCACACACACACACACACACACACACACCCCACACACACATACACACACGCACACACACACACGCACACCACACACACACACACACACCACACACACACACACACACACACATACACACACACACATGCCCAGGGGACCTCTCCGTGGCTGGTTGGGACTCACCTCCATGCTGAGAGTCCCACACCGTCCCCAGCCACAGCAGCATCCTGCCAGCCCCGTCCTCCGGTCACCTTCCCACGATTCCCAAACCCTGGGCCCTGGAAGCTAGGCGTGTGAATCACCTGGGAGCTTGTCTGAATACACATCGCCAGGCCCCACACCCAGAAGCTCTGCTGTCTAGGGTCTGGATGGGTAGAGGCCAGAAATCTGTATATTTAACAAGCATCCCAGGTGGTTCCCGGTGGTTGGGGTGCAGAGAGCTACGAAGCTGCGGCCGGGCAGCAGCTAGAGCGAGGACAGGCTTCCTTACCAGGACTCCCCCTCTGCCCCCATTGCTCCCCACTCAGGAAGCCTTTGGGGGGGCTGGTTCTTCCGTGACTGAGCTAGTCCACAGGCCCCTCCTCCGTGCACCTGAGGGACAGGCTCGCCAGGCCTTCCCAGTCCAGTGGCCTCGCCCCGGCATGGGAATAGCTGGACTCCTGGGGGCCTTAAACTCAGGGGGCCTGCAGATGGGCCCCAATGCTGGTCTGGAAAAGGGCCTCTCGCAGTGGCTGTTTAGCAGGTGGGGCGTTCATACCACGGCCCTGAGGGCCTGTTTAGCACAGTGAAGCAGCCCGAGACTCCGAAAGGTTGGCTTGTTGTACACAGGAGCGAGACGCCTGCGTTCTCTCCCTACCAGAGCCAGGGAAGGGGGGATCGGCACAGCAATCAGCTGCCGGAGAGGCTCCTGTTGGGAAGGAAGCCTGATGAAGTGGCTGCAGGTGGAAATGTAGTTTTTTGCTCAGGGGATCAGCAGCCATACCCTCTCTGTCTCCTGACGCGGGTGGAAGTATCCTTCTTAGCTCACTGGTGGGTTTCACCAGCTCCCCGCTCTCCACTCTCTGCTCTCGCCTGGGCACGGATGTGGTATCCAACCCTGGACCCCTCCCCAAGCACCTCCCTCCCCAGGAGGCAGAGGGGACGGAGACAAACGAAGTCAGCGCCGAGAAGCCTGTCCCAGGCCTGAGCCATCCGGCTCCCGTATACTCTACACCAGTGTTTCCCAAACTTCTCTCATGATGAGATTTACCTGGTGGAGTTGTTAAGATACAGATTCCTGCCGAAACCGGTTTGGCTCAGTGGTAGAGCATTGGTCTGCAAATTGAAAGGTCCCAGGTTCAATTCCGGTCAAGGGCATGTACATTGGTTGCGGGCACATTGGTAGGGGGTGTGCAAGAGGCAGCTGGTCGATGTTCCTCTCTCATCGACGTTTCTAGCTCTCTAGCTCTCTCCCTTCCTCCTCTCTGTAAAATATCAATAAAATATTTTTTTTTAAAAAGATACAGATTCCTGAATCCCAACTAAGAAGTGCTAAACTAGAATTTTTGGGAACATATAGGTAGAGCACTAATTAAGTATACAATTTTACCTATATGTCCCCAAAAATTCTAGTTTAACTACTCCACCAGGTGATTCTCATCATGAGAGAAGTTTGAGAAACACTGCTCTGCCCCATGATCGTAGGTTGTAAAACGCAACCCCTAATAACAGGAACAGCACAAAGAAATGGACACCTGTCCTTAAGGGCATCGAGTTAGGACCTTTCATTTCAACTTCGGCACGTCTCAGGGGAGGGAGTCAACACTGGCCCTAGTCATCGCAAGCCTGTTTCTTGGTCTCATGGCTGGGTTACGCTCTGGGGGAAGGCCGAGTTTCGGATAAAAACACGCCTTCTCTTCTGGTTGTTCTGTCTCGCCCTCTCCCCTCCCCCCCCCCCCCGCCCCCAGGTGTCCCGTGGACCCTGCACACGTGGCTGGAGTCCCTGCGCATCGCCTTCCAGCAGCACCGCCGGCCGCTCATCCAGGGGCTGCTGAAGGAGTTCAAGACCATCCAGGAGGAGGAGTACACGGAGGAGCTGGTCACCCAGGGCCTGCCCCTCATGTTCGAGATCCTGAAAGCCAGCAAGGTACGCGGGGTGTGAAGCTGCCAGGCCACCGGCAGAGAGCTCGGAGGTTCCCCATCTCAGAGGTCCCTTCCCTGTGGTCGTGGCAGCTGGTGGCTAAAGCCACGTGTGCCGTCGTCATTTGTGGGGCAGCTGCTTTGCTGAGTCCCTGTGAGATCCCAGGGCATTCAGGCAGGTGGACAAAACAGTTAGCCAGGCTCTGGGGAAGGCTTTTGGGGTACACAGAAGCCAGTGAACCACGCGCTGACCCTGACACTCACCCCTTCCTCACGGACCTCCCAGTTCCCGCCAGCACCTGCGTTGAAGGGAAATGGGGCAACCCCTTGAAAACCCAGTCCAGGGCTGGGGCTACTGTGTGATCAGTCCTTCAAAATCCCTTTGGGGTCCCTTGTTGGGGGATACCACAGAGACACCCAGCACCCACCAGCGAGCCATGTGATATGGGGGTGGGGGTGAGGACAACTGTGCGAATGGACAGCTGCAGGGTGCCTGGTCCCTGGCCAGCCATGGAGTGGAGAGCCCAGGTCAGGGGAGGGGTGGCAAACGCCCCGCCACTGGCTGTGGAAGCACCAGGCGGGACCAGTTTGCCGGGAGGCTTGGAGGAGTCTGGGCTTCTCAGTGGGTGTCGGGACAGGATGGCACAGTGGTTGGGAGCACGGGCTCTGGAGCCGAACTGGAGGAGTTCAGGCCGGGCTCTGCCACTGACTTGCCTTATGACCCTGGTCAAGTTACAGAACTTCTCTCTGCCTCAGTTTCCCCGCCTGAAGGTGGGGACAGTGATGTGTTAACCTCAGGCTGGTTGTGAAGAGAAAATGAGTGGGTGCCCTTCACATGGCCCCTCCCACTGCTTTATAGTCCCCGTCCCCACGATGGCCTCGCCAGGGGACGTGGCGCCTCCATTGCTTCTGCAGCAACCAGCCCCTCAGCAGGGATGACATCAAAATATTTAACACCCGGCGCAGCCAGGCACCAAGGAGCCTGTGAAAACCATGTGGGACCAGACTGAATGTCCCCTCCTCTCCTCAGGGTAACATGGGATTACCTCGCTGTCTCTGCTGCAGAGCCTTGACTAGCCTAATTCACAAAGGCAAGTGCTTCCCAAACTCGCTTGACCTCGGAACCCTTTTCATAATGAACTGCTTCAAGACAGAAATGAGGACTTTTTTTTTAAGCTAAAATATGTTGTTTAAATCCTCACAGGCAACGTTTGAAACAGATACCACTCTTACCCCCGGTGTAACAAATGGGGAAACTGAGGCATGGAGCCTTTGGCTGGTGTGCTCGAGATCACAGGGTGGTGCTAAGTAGCAGAGCTGGGACTGAACCCAGGCGGTGTGGCCCCAGCACCAGCCTCTCCCCAGAGCAGGCTTTGTGGGGCTCTGGGGCCCCCCTGTAAATAAGGTGACCAGAGGTCCCGCTTTTGACGGGACAGTCCCAATTTTTAAAAATCGGGACTTTTTTAAAACGCCCAGGGACAAATTGTTAAAAATCGGGACGTCTGGTCACCTTACCTGGAAATCACCTGTGAAGTCTCCTGGGAAACAGGCCTCTGCACCAGGAAGGCACCCAGGGTCCCCCTGCCAGGATGGGCCCACGGGCTGCCCGAGGGAAGGACAGGGGGTCCATGGAGCTGCCTTTGCTGGCAGCAGGGTGGCCCCAGGGTAAAGCAGCTGGAACTCGGCGTCCTGTCTGCTCTCTGAGCCTGGAGCACGTGGCCCGGGTCCGAGCCAGACCCATTAGGTCCTCTCATTAGCGCAGTCTCCAGCCTGGCGTCTAGGGGCCCCGCGGGCTAGATTTATGTCTGATGTCAGGCCCCGCGGAGACCACAAGTGGGAGCAGGTGTGCGGCCTCGGGTAATGAGCCTCAGCACTTCTGTTCAGGGGGAAGCCTGCTGGAGGCTTTTCAACACCAAATGCTCCCTGCTCCGCACCCCCCACCTGGAAAATACATAAAAAAGGCTTTCACCTGAAATTACCTAAGAAGCCACCTTCATGACAAACATTCCCTGTTGGGTTCCCAGAGTCTGGTGCGTCGGGTTTTTAATTTCCTTTCTTTCTTCAGGATAGAGTGGGCATCCCAGAAACTACTGAAGCATCTTGTGCTTTAAGTAAACCTGATCTATGGGGTTCCTAGGTAAACATCATTTTAAATAGGACATACACACACACACACACACACACACAAACACACACGGAAAAGTGCCCCCATCCTAACTCTAGAGACAAAGGAATTTCCACCAGGTAAACCTGCCTGTGTGATGAGCACCCAGACCAAAAACAGAGCATTGCTAGCACCCGCCAGCCCAGCCCCTACCCTCTCCCGCTCCCCCTACCCCACCCCCCACTCCCCTCTCCCAGAGCAGCCAACAGCTCTGACAGCAGCAGCTGGGGATGGGAAAGAAGGGAGGGGCCTTTGCCAGGATGTATGGACCAGAGCCTGCTCCCAGCAGTTGTACTGATCATGGAGGGTGGGGGGACCCAGGGATGGGGCCCTGCATTCTTAGGACTGCACCCTTAGGTTTGCTCTTCCTGTAAATGGGGGCTCAATGGCAACCCCTACTGGTGAAGTGTGGCATTACACATCCCTATGCAGGGCAGAGGGGAGAAAAGATAAACTGACCTTGGCTGTGTGAAGTCGGGCATTCTCCAAGCATGGGTGATGTTCCTGCGGCCAGACCCTGTAGGTTTATTTTGCTTTTTTTTTTTCCTTCTAGGTTCTTGAGGTAGAAAGTTAAACTATCAATTTGAAACTATTTCTTTTTTCTTCTTTATGTACTTACTATTCTACCTTTTCTGCTCTGCACTACCCTAGCTGTGTCCCACAATTTTTTACATGTTTTATTTTCACCTTCATTCAGTGCGGTGTATTTTTTATTTCCCTTGAAATTTGCTTTATTTTTGGCTCATGAAAGTGTGTGATTTAGTTTCAAAGTGTTTTGGGGATTTTTTCTGTTATTGATGTCTAGTTTGATTCCATTGTGGTCAGAGAACACATGCTACATATATTATTTCAATCCTTTTTTTAAGATTTGCAATTTGTTATATGGCCTATCTTGGAAAGGTGTGCTTTCTGCTGGTGTGGGGTGTCTGTAATTGTCAGTAACATCCCCTTAGCTGATGACTATGCTGAGCTCTGCTGTATCCTACACCCTATATTCTAAACCTATTTCTGTACCCTATAGATGCTCCGTCCAGTTATCCCATCAGTTGACAGAGGGGTGTTAAGGTCTCCGACTGTAATTGTTGGATTTGTCTCCTTCCCCTTTTAGTTCTGTCCATTTTTAGCGTACATATTTTGCAGCTGTGTCATTTGGTGCAGACACGTTTAGGATTCCGGTGTCTTCTTGGTGTGTTAACCCTTTTGTCATTATGTCGTGCCCCTCTCTGCATCGACTAGTCTTCTTTGTTCTGAAGTCTCCTTAATCTAATATTGATACAGCCACCCCTGCTTTCCTCTGATTAATGTTTGTATGATATTTCCCCCGTCCTTTTACTTTCAACTTGCCTATATGTTGCATTTAGAGTTTCTTATAAACAACATGCAGTCGGGCTTTTCATCCACTCTGTCAATCTCTGTCTTTTAATCAGAATTTATAGACCATTTATATTTTATATAATTATTGATACTTTAGGGCAGTGATCAGCAAACTGTGGCTTTCGAGCCACATGCAGTTCACAAGCAGCAGTTTGCCTCTCTGTTGACTAATGAGTTTGCCGACCACTGCTTTAGGGCTTAAATCTACCATCTTATTTTTTTGTCTTCTGTGTGATTTTTCTGTCTCCGTCCTGCCTTCCTGTGGACTACCTGGACATTTATTTAAGTTCCATTTTTATTTGTCTGTAATGTTTTGGAATGTATCTCACTGTATATAGCTTTTTTAGTGATTGCTTTGATGTATTGTATTATCTATATATATGAAAGCCCAAGTGACCGAACGACCAGTCGACGGGTCACTACAATGTGCACTGACCACCAAGGGGCAGACACTCAATACAGGAGCTTCCCCCTGGTGGTCAGTGGGCTCCCACAGCCAACCTCTTACAGCAGGCCAACCTCCTGTGGTCCCTCCCTCCACCCTCCACTCTTCACCCCCCCACCCTCATCCCCAGCTGGCCGACCCCAATTGGCCATGATTGGGACTGGGCAAGATGGCCCCGATCAGCCCAGATCACTAGCCAGGCCAAGGGACCCCACCCATGCACGAATTCGTGCACCGGGCCTCTAGTATGTACATAATATCGAAGTCTACTGGTTTCACCATTTTACCAGTTCAGATGAAGCATAGAAACCTTACTTCTCTTCATGTCCCCTTACCCTCCTCCATTTATGACATAACCATCTTTAAATATGACATCTAATTTAGAACCGCATCAGACAGTTACAATTTTTGCACCAACCATTAAACATAATTAGGAAACTCAGGAGGAAGAAGATGCCTCTTATATTTGTCCATATTTTTGCTTACCCTGTTCCTCCTCCCGGATGCTCCAAGGCTCCCTCCTTCATCCTTTCCTGTGGTTCAGAGACCTTTCTTCAGCCATTCTTCTAGGGTCATCCTGGTGGCCAGTTCTCTGAGGTTCCTTCATCGCAGAGTGTCTGATTTCCTTTTCGCTCCTGAAGGACATCATCCCTGGTTGTTATTTATTTCATACGTTTCTTTTAAGTCCTCTTATCTTCCCTTAAATGTATTTAGGAAGGAAACCTTATATTACTACCATAAATAGAAAGCTCTCATCAGTTGCCATAAAAATAAATGGGTGAGGATCTAAAAGCGCTTTAAGTTCACAGTGTGTTCAATTTCATCTTATACACAACTCCAAGGGCGTGTGACAGACTTGGAGCTAAGCCGACCTCCTGGGAATCCTGTGGGGCCGTACAGCCTTCCCACCCGCCTTTTCCAGGTGGTTCCAGCAGAGAGGGGCTCACAGATGACAGGTCAGCCCAGCATCTTCCACAGGGGCGGGGCCTGTCTGTTGGGAGGAAACAATTAAGACAAAGAATTCACTACTGATGACCCTGGGAAGCAACAGCCATTCCACATTCTCTTGATTCTCAGACCAGGCTTTTTCCATCTTTTTTTTTTTGAAATGGTCTTCAAAATGGATGTGTATGCTTATTGCAGTGAGTTTCCTTCCAGTACATTTAGGATACTTTAGGATCTAGGAAAATAGAGATTAAGTTGAATTATGGGAATTTGCTCTTTGGAGAGTTCAAAAATGGTCACATATTGGCACTTCCCTTTGGTTCAACCTAATGGCACATAGTGCGGTGTTATCTTTTTAATCCTCAGAGCAGGTAATTTAATCCTCACTAAGCAGGTGATTCATTTGGGAAGAGAACACCGAGGCCCAGAGAAGCTGAGTGCTTTTCCTCAGGTCACACAGCTGCTAGCTGAGGAGCCAGGACCGGACCCGGCTCCGTCTGATCCCATTGCCCATATTTTACCACTGTTAGAGCCCCTGCCTGAGCTGCCTATAAAAGACCTTGGGGACAATCCTAGCGCTCCTTTTCAAAGAAAAGGGTGTGTTTTTGTACCTTCTTAGAAGAACAGTGAGGGGTCAGAGGAGGGGAGGAAAGATGTCAGCCCCACATCCACAGACTCCATCGTGGTAACTCTAGTATTATAATTCCGGACTGGCCCTGGCCAGTGGCTCATCATCCCACACAGCAAAAGGTTGCAGGTTCAATCCCTAGTCAGAACACATATGGGAGGCAACCGATGGATGTTTCTTCTCTCTCTCTCCCTCTCTCCCTCTCCCTCTTCCTCTCCCTCTCCCTTTCCCCCCTCTCCCGCCCTCCCCCACCTTACTCTCTTTCTCTCCCTAAAATGAATCCTCAAGTGAGGATTTTAAGATAAAAGAATTTAGTTCTGTGCAGCTGAGACCTGGGAACCCAAGTTCAACACCCAGCATTTTCCAAGAGAGGCCAAGAGGACAGCTCTCATTATTTTAAGGGCTTGTGCGGTTACTTGGGCCCACCCAGATAATCCAGGATAACCTCCCTCTTTAGGGTCAACCAACCAGTAACTTCCCCGACTCCTGCAGATTCCCCTTCCTCCTATAAGGTAACACATTCACGGGTGGGAGTTCTCATGACACAGCCCAAGGGATGGGGCATGCCGTCTGCTCAAGGCCAGGACTCTGCTCCTCAAACACCCGTGTGCAGAGCCTGTGCCTGTGGACCCTGACTCACTGGCCTCGGGTGAGAGTCTGCATCATGCAGGCTCCCGGGCGATTCTGTGGCTGCTGGTGGTGGTCGATGGAGCACGTTTGAGTGGCAAAACCTCAGGCCAGAGGAAACACATTTACAGCCCCTGGCCCACTCAGACCCACGACAGATTCCAGTCCGTGAAACCGGTGGTTCTCAACCCTCAGGGGGCATCGGAGTGACCAGAACATGGCCCTGGCCGGTTTGGCTCAGAGGATAGAGCATCGGCCAGAGGACCAAAGGGTCTCAGGTTAGATTCCCAGTCAAGCGCTTGGGGGAAGCAACCAATCGATATGTCTCTCTCACGCTGGTGTTTCACTCTCTCTCCTCCCTCCCTTCCACTCTGTCAAAAAAAAAAAAAAAAAATCAATGGAAAAAACATCCTCAGGTGAGGATTAAAAATAATTTTTTTTTTTAAAGAAAATGTGTGAAGCCCTGACCGATTTGGCTCAGTGGATAGAGCGTCTGCCTGGGGACTGAGAGGTCCCAGGTTCGATGTCAGTCAAGGGCATGTACCTTGGTGGTGGACACATCCCCAGCAGGGGGTGTGCAGGAGGCAGCTCTGATGGATGTTTCTCTCTCTTTGATGTGTCTGACTCTCTATCCCTCTCCCTTCCTTTCCATAAAAAAAATCAATAGAATATATATATTTAAAGAGAGAGAGAGAGATCATTCTCCCCAGAACCAGTTTGGCTCAGTGGATAGAGCATTGGCCTGCGGACTGAAGGGTCCCAGGTTCGATTCCGGTCAATGGCATGTGCCTTAGTTGTGGGCACATCCCCACCAGGGGGTGTGCAGGAGGCAGCTGATAGATGATTCTCTCTCATCGATGTTTCTGACTTTCTGTCCCTCTCCCTTCCCCTCTTTTAAAAAAATTCAATACAATATATATTAAAAAATAAAATATAATAAATTAAAAATAAAAAGAGGTCATTCTTTAGAAGAAGAAGGAGGAGGAGGAGGAGGAGGAAGAGGAAGAGGAGGAGGAGGAAAAAGAAAATGTGAAAAGACAGCTTGCTGGGCCCCCCACCCCGCCATGTCTGAGGCAGAAGTCTGGGGAGAGACCTGAGGGTGGGCATTCCTAGCAGGCTCCCAGCTGATGCTGTGGGGTGGGACCCTCCCTGGAGACCCGCTGCATGAAGCCAGGAGAGAGGCAGTCCCTGTGCGAGGGCGACATGAAGGAGCATTTCATGCCCTTGTTTATCAGGCCGCCTCTTCAGAAGCAGCGTCCCTTCCCCGTTCAGGATGAGCACGTCCCCTCAGGCCCCTCTGGGGATCATCCGACTGAAGCGATGAGGTGCCTTTTGGGATCTCATCTGTGGAATCAAAGGGCTGGACTGCTTTTCATGTGCCGAGCGGTATCCTCCCGCTTCGGGCGCACAGAGGAGCAGTCTCCCTGACGGGCTTGGACCGCGGACACCCCAGCCCCATCGTTTGAAGTCAAAAATAATATTTGTTGGTTTTATTGCAAACAGTTGTTTGTTGCAGAAAATAGAACTCCCTGGGCCGGGTGTGCACGGGGAGCTAAACAGAAAGCTTCTCATCCCACAGAAGGCAGCGGCTCCATTCTCCCCGGCTTTTCTCTGTCAGCATCTGTCCATCTAGCTAGATGCCGTGGGGCTTTATTTCAAAAAGTACATGCTACAGACTGTGTGGTAACCTACTTTTAAAATATCGATAGATTGTGAATGTCTTTCTACCTAACTCCCCCCTTAAGCCCCAAGTGTAAGGTGACCAGACGTCCCGCTTTTGGCGGGACAGTCCCGATTTCTAACCATTTTGTCCCGCGTCCCGTGGTGTTTTAAAAAAAAAAAAAAAAGTCTTTTTTATAACGCCGTGGGACGCGAGACAAAATGGTTAAAAATTGTTAACAAATTGTTAAAAAATCGAGTCTGTCCCGCCAGAAGCGGGACATCTGGTCACCTTACCCAAGTGTCAACCGCTTCACTCAAAAAGCACCCCCATACTGTGATGTGTGGCTTCCCTCCTGTGCACCTGCTGCTGAGGGGAGACCTGTGAGCAGCAGCGAGCCGGGTAGGGGAGGAGGAGAAACACGGAGGTCATGGCTCCATCGAAGCAAGCTTAGCCCCTGAGCTGCCAGGGGCAGCTGACATTCTGCATCGCAGAACTTCCCCCTCCCTTTTACTTTTTTTTTTTGGGGGGGGGGTGGAGAAATGATTCATCTGAGCACCCTGATCTGGACAGGCCTCAGCACCAGAATCCAGTTCTAGGAAAGCTGAATCAGGACCACCTGAGTCTCGGCAGCGGCGACGCCATCACGGGGTCAGGAGGGCCTTCTGCTGGTCTTCTTAGGCTGATGAGCAGCTTCCAGGACTTAGGAGTGGTGGCCACAGTAGGTTTGAAGTGAAAACTTACTTTCCATCTCAGGAGTTAGCAAACCTGCTTTCCCATGGGTAGGAAATGATTGGAGCAAGAGAAAAGGGCTTCGTTCCAAAGGAAGCTTTTGCCAATGAGCCCGTGGAAATATAGACAAACAAGCTGGCAGCTCCAGGGGCTGCCGGGCAATCGGGGTGAGTGAATGTCCAGGGGGAACGCTCTTGGGCCCTGAGGTCGGTCTGTGGGCTTCTCTCCCTTGGGGAGCGCGTTCCGGCAACAACTGGCCCGAGGTTGTGCACAGCCCCCAGCAAGGTGCACTGTTCTCTCCTTTCCGCAGAATGAAGTGATCAGCCAGCAGCTGTGTGTCATCTTCACCCACTGCTACGGGCCCTACCCCATCCCCAAGCTCACGGAGATCAAGCGGAAGCAGACCTCGCGCCTGGGTGAGTGTGTGACTTCAGGACGGGGAAGAAGCAAACGCTGTAAGGAAGGGTGGGGACTGTTCGAGGGCCAACAAGATAGATACTGGAAGCAGGCTGGCGGAGGTCAGGACAGCACCTTGATTACGTGATGAAACCGAAGGCTGTACCTTGGGAGAAGGTGGATCAGAGCACCTACCTTTTGCTGCCTGTAACCTAATTGAAAGCGTACAGGCAGTGGCAGCAAGAAGGTCTCTGGACCCTGCAGACAGGTAGGTTCTAAAAGCAACCCAAGTGCCCATCCACAATAATTAAAGCATAATATGCTAATTAGACCGGACAGCCAAACCACCTACTGGACGTCCTTCCAGACATCCTTCCAGAGGAAGCCCAGGCTGCGAGGGCCGAGACAAGCCACCGCGGCTGCATGAATTTTGTGCATCAGGCATCTAGTCAATAGATAAGAAGATTTTTTAAAAAGCAGTGGTACATATAGACAATGGAATATTACTCAATCATAATAAAAGAACAAAGTCTTATCGTGTGCAACAGAATGCATGACTCTAGAGGGTGTTATGCTAAGTGAAATATATTAGTCAGAGGAAGACAAATACCATGTGACTTCACTTCTATGTGGCATCAAAAGAACAACATAGACGAACAAATAAAACAGAAATAGGCTCAGAGATGTAGAGAGCAGACTGAGGGTTGCCGGTAGGAAGGTGGGTTGGGGGACTGGGTGAAAAACAAAGGGATTACGAAGTACACGCTGGCAGTTACCGAACAGTCCTGGAGACATCGCACAGCACAGGGACCATGGTGATGAGCAGGTGGGGCCAGGTGGGTACTGGAAATACGGGGGGGACAGCTATGCTGTACATCGGAAACTAATACAAACTATTGAATGTAATAAAATAGGAAATGTTAGGGGGAGGAGTCTCATATGTAAGAATTTTTTTCTTTTTTATAATATAATAAAACCAATATTGGAATAAAAAATAATGAAAGAAGCCTGAGCTGTGCATGGCAGCTCTCCCCAGCGCTCCCTGAGGAGGGACGAGCAGAGGACGGTGACAGGCCATGGTGTGCCTCTAATGGAGTCCAGTGCAGGCAGCAAGGAGGGGAGGGGAGCCAGACTTCCCTCCACACACGCACACGCACACGCACATGCACACACAGGAAACATACCTGAGCTGAGGAGACGGGATGCCCTGACTCCTCGCTTCTGTGCTTCTCAGACACTTGCACTGAGCTGCCCCAGCCCTTGGTCGCCCCTATTGCAAGTCATCCTTGGGCCACCCCAGGAGGCAGGCAGTGGGGGGTCTGCACCGGGTCCCCCGAAGCCACAATCCCATCCTCCTGTGGTTTTCGCTTCTGGGATTTTCCAGGAGAAACCTTTCCATCAGGCACTGATTTCATTCGGAGGATCCTGGGGACTGCTGCCGCCGGATGACTGGATCAGAATAAAAAAAGGCAAAGAAGTACTGGCGGCCACTCTGAAACCTGACCCAGGAGCCTTCTGTTACCGGGGCCTGGCTCCTGGCTGCACAGGAAGCCATAAAATATTAAAGCTGCTCTAACATCTCAATATTAAAGGGTTCCTTTTCCAGTGGAGACTGGGGGACTTTCCTGCTTCCTAGTTCCTTTTCCTGCAAAGACTGGGAGACAATAGAAGCATCTGAAAATTCTACTCTTTAGCAAAACCACTATTTTTGAAACACCCTTTCCTATGAGCCAACCAAGATGTGCCCAAACCACACGTAATTAACACCTTGTAGGAAATCTGTGTTCATTAGGATATTCTAAGTGCAACAAATTATAAGGACCAATCAAATAAAGAGGCTTTACGACATAGCAATAATCTGACATCTAGGTGTCTTACAAGACACCCTTGATAGAGTGAATATTTGCAAGGGCTGTTTTAATGACACGGCATAAATTCTGCTTTCCTGTAGCTATAGGAGAGGAAGAGGTTTGTTTTTTTTTCTCCTGAACTTGCTGAGATTTCTTCCATCAGCAATTTTAAGGTCCTCATTTTCTTGCCAAGCCTTGGAATTCCAAGGGTTAGAACAAGAAAAGGAAGGCAGGCCTGAGAGGCTTGAAGCTCACAATACAAAGAAAGAAAAAAAGGTAGAATATATGTATAATCCTATATAAGAAAAGGGTAATATGCAAATGGACTCTAACAGCTGAACGACCAGTCTTTTTGACACTCCCCACCAGGGGCAGACGCTCAATGCAGGAGCTGCCCCCTGGTGGTCAGTGTGCTTCCACAGGGGGAGTGCTGCTCAGCCAGAAGCCGGCTCATGGCTGGCTAGCGCAGCAGCTGGGGCAGGACCCTCTCCTGCCTTCGCGGCAGCTCTAAGGATGTCCAACCAATGACCTAGGCGGGGAGCGGGCCTATGCTGTTACTTGGACAAGCTCCAACAACATGACTCTAAGCCAATGGCCAGAGCATGCTTTCATTCATTCAAAAAGTGCTCACTGAGCATCTAGATGTCCGGCTAACCCTGAGGGGCAATATGTGCCAGCCATTAATTTATGTTTCACATGAATTAGTTCATGGAATGCTCCCTATGACTCTTGGTTGTCGGGATATAATGGGTATTACTATTCCCATTTTACAGGAGTGAAAACTGAGGCACGAAGTGGGCCAATAACTTGCCCCAAGGTCTCTGAGATTTCTGGCTTGAGAACCCACGTCCTAACTATACTCTACTGCTTCCTGTGGTAGAGACAGAGGCAAGGATGTGGAAAGGACAGGCAAGGTTTCGTCCCACCAGAGTGTGCAGACCGGAAGGGGAGGCAAAGAGCGGGTACACAGTGATAATGAGGCTGCACCAAGTCACCAGCTTGAGCAGGTCACTGTAACTATCCGTGCCTCAGTTTCCTCAAATGCACACCTACCCCTCAGGAATGAAGGAGCTGGCATGTGTTAGATCAGCTTGCACAGTGCCTGGCACGTTGTGAGCGCCCCATAAGTACTGGTTCTATCGTCTGTTCTTACTAGAGGCCCAGTGCATGAAATTCATGCACTGAAAAGGGGTCCCTCAGCCCGGCCTGCACCCTCAGGGGGTGTCCGACTAAGGTCTTAGGCCCTCTCCCCATGGAACATCCTTAGTGCTGCCAAAGAGGTGAGAGAGGCACCCGCCACCGCCACTGTGCTGCCCAGCTATGAGCCCGGCTTCTGGCTGAGCAGCGCTCCCCCTATGGGAGCACACTGATCACCCGGGGGCAGCTCCTGCATTGAGCATCTGCCCCCTGGTGGTCAGTGGATGTCATAGCGACTGGTTATTCTACTGCTAGGTCGATTTGCATATTAACCTTTTATTAGATAGGATAGGATTGGAGGTGAGTCAGGAGACCGGCTCCTTTGTCACTGACCCAGGGAAAGAAGGGTCTGGACTTCAAAACACCTGAAACACAGTGGCTAGAGGGCAGGTTTTCTCACTCCCGCTGGCAGGGAGGAGGACACTGGGCCGGAGAGGAGGCGGGAAACCAGGCTGGTGACAGTCTTCAAGGCCCGGTGGGCAGGTGTCTACCTCTCACACCTGGAAGCCACCTGACCTGGGGCTGTGGCTCAGTCTTCTGTGGGGAAGTGCCACCTTGAATTACAAATAACCTAGGACGATTTCCTGGGGAAAACTGGATTTCTGTGATGTGAGTGTTCCTCTGATTTGCTCCTGTGTGGTCCCTGTCTCACCAATGGGTATTGCATCCCCTGGAATCCAAGCTTCGCCCTTCTCTCCACTAAAGCTGCCTTTGTCCCCCTTTCCTCCTCCAGATCCTCACTTCCTCAACAACAAAGAAATGTCCGATGTCACCTTCCTGGTGGAAGGAAGGCCGTTCTATGCTCACAGAGTGCTGCTATTCACAGCCTCTCCGAGGTACGTCCGTCCGCTTGGGGAGCAGGTGATTATGAGTGTGGCTGCTGCTTTATTGTGCTCTGAAGTTCAATTCTGGGGGTACCTCCACCAGATGGGCAGATTATCTCCTCCAAACAAAGGATTCAAGAGTTCAGAGCAGCCCTCGCCGGTCTGGCTCAGTGGAGAGAGAGGGCATCGGCCTGCAGACTGAAGGGTTGTGCCAGGGTGTGCATGCGAGAGGCCACCAATCAATGGCTTTCTCTCATGTACAGGTTTCTCTCTCTGTCTCTCCTCCTCCCTTCTACTCTCTGAAAAATCAATGGAAAAATATTCTCGGTGAGGATTTAAAAAAAAAAAGCGTGCAGGGCATTTGTGCATTGTATCATAGCAACGTTATTCACAATAGCCAGAAGGTAGAAGCAGCCCAGGTGTCCATCCATCAGTGGGCGGATGGATAAGCTCAATGTGGTGTGCCCATGTGCTGTTCAGCCTCGCAAAGGCAGGCAGTGCTGATACAGGCTACAACACCGATGAACCGTGGGGACCTTATGCAAAGTGGAATAAGCCAGTCACAAAAGACAGATGCTGTTTGACTCCATTTATATGTGGTCCTAGAGGAGTCGAATCCTTAGAGACGGGAAGCAGCACGGTGGTTGCTAGGGGCCGGGGGCCGGAAGAGTGAGGAGCTAGTGTTTCATGAGCACCTGGTGAGTTCTCGGATTGGCTGTGCAACAATGGGAACATACTACATAACATTAGCATGACCATGCACTTGAAAATGATTAAGACGGTAAATGACACGTTCTGTGTTTTTCTTAAAAAAAAAAAAATATATATATATATATATATATATATATATATTCTGTGTTTTTCTTAAAAAAAAAATATATATATATATAAAATATATATATATATATATATATATATATATATATAATAGTGGGCAGCCATCGGCATAAATGGCGGCCAGCGCCTTTGTGTGACCCGGCACCTGTGCCTCCAGGAAGACAGGGCATGTGTGGGGAGAGCTTCGAGAGAGCTCGGGGGAGCAGAGCGTGGATGAGGTTTGCACTCCCTCCACCCGGTGCCTCATGCCGTGCACAGCCTCACACACGGCCGACTGGAAACGCCTGCTCTCCACATGTCAGGGAACTTTGGCGTAAGCCACCGAATTACATGGGTCCTGGGAGCCTTCCTCTGCCCTGACTATGGAGGGAACAACAGTCGGACACCCTCAGCCAGCTCCGCCACTGTCCTTCCTCCTCCTTTTGGTTGGAGGTGAGAAGGGTTGATCATGTGGAACCGCGTGGCCCAAGGAGCTGACCAGGATGGGGGAGGCTGGGTAACGGGGGAGAGGGGGGAGGGAGGGAGGGAGGGAGGGAGGGAGGGAGGGAGGGAGGGAGGGAGAGAGAGAGAGAGAGAGAGAGAGAGAGAGAGAGAGAGAGAGAGAGAGACTGAAATGAGGAGGAAGAGGTGGTCCCTGGAGCAAGAACCTTCTTCCAGGACTACGGCCAAGGGATGTGTCTGACCAGCATCCCCTGGATGAGAGCATCCTGGCACCCACAATGCCCACCCCCCCACAACAAAAGGCAAACCCCACATGTCTGCTTTGCCACCACAAGAAAAACATGCCGCCTCTTGCAGCATGATACTATTGAAAAACGGATCAATATCGTGATGGCATTGATTGTAGCATAGCAACATGCTCATTTCTTTTTTTTTCTTTTTCTTTTTTGATATATTTTTATTGATTTTTCATAAAGAGGAAGAGAGAGGGATAGAGAGTTAGAAACATCGATGAGAGAGAATCATCGATCAGCTGCCTCCTGCACACCCCCTACTGGGGATGTGCTCACAACCATGGTACATGCCCTTGACCGGAATCGAACCCGGGACCTTTCAGTCCACAGGCCGATGCTCTATCCACTGAGCCAAACCAGTCCCGGCCATGCTCATTTCTTGGTTTGGACGAAGGGATCATGACTGCCTTTGTAGGATGTTAGCAACAGCGGGGACTGGGTGAAGGGTAAGCAGGAACTATCGTTGCATGTCTTCTATAAATCTATAATTATTTCAAGATTAAACATTTTTAAAAAAAAGAAAGAAAGAAAGAAAGAAAGAAAGAAAGAAAGAAAGAAAGAAAGAAAGAAAGAAAGAAAGACAGAGCTTATTCCTAAATAGATTGAGTACCATTGTGTTTCAGTGGCAGGTTCTGTACCCTCAGGGAGTATATAGTTTAGTGGACGGCAGGAAAGTGCATCTAAAACCTCAGGCAGGTCAGCCGTGGGGGAGCCTTAGGTAGTCACCAGATGTTGATTCAGTACCCACAATGCACCGGACAGGGGCTCTGAGGATGCAGCAGACACAGAAAGGGCAGAAGTCCCAGCTGGCCGGATCCGCAGCTGTTTGGGAGGGGGTCGGTGGGATTGGAAAACTCCCTGAGCAGCAAAAGATCGAGCAGGAGCTCAGGGAAGGCTCCCTGGAGGAGGCAGTCTTTGTGGCAGACCCCGCAGGACAGATGGGGTTTTCAAAGGCATTCACTCTTTTCTAACCACCTGCTTGAAAAATGATGCTGTTCTTTTTTCTTTCTTTCTTTCTTTTTCTTTAAGTGAGAAGAGAGAAGGAGAGAGAGAGAAACATCAATGATAAGAGAGAATCATTGATTGGCTGCCTCCTGCATGCCCCCTACTGGGGATCAAGCCTGCAACCCCGGGGCACGTGCCTTTGACTGAAATCGAACCTGGGACCCTTCAGTCCACAGGCCGGCGCTCTGTCCACTGAGCCAAACTGGCTAGAGCAGTGGTCGGCAAACTCGTTAGTCAACAGAGCCAGATACCCACAGTACAACAATTGAAATCTCTTTTGAGAGCCGAAAACCGACTTTTCCGTCACGCGCACTGTATGCGCACCACGCCCACACGTGGTATTTTGTGGAAGAGCCACACTCCAGGGGCCAAAGAGCTGCATGTGGCTGTGAGCTGCAGTTTGTCGGCCACGGGGCTAGAGCAACACTGTTCTTTTACGTTGAGGTTTAACTTCACATTGGATTTCAGTATCCTACAGGGAGCGGGAGGGTTAATGTGAGAAATCTGTGCCAATGTCCTTGCTGTATGTCAGGGGCCGGGAGATAAAGAGCCACTCTGGGTGTGCTTGCGAGTCTTTTTCTCTTTTTGTGATCTTGTTCAGGTTCAAAGCGCTGCTCTCCAGCAAGCCCACCAATGACAGCAGCTGCATAGAGATCGGCTATGTGAAGTACCCCATCTTCCAGGTGAGGCCCTGCTGGCTGGGCAGGGCATGGGGGGCGGGGGGGGGGGGGGCGGGCCTCCAGTCCTTGGCCTGTGGATTAGCCGCTGCAACAAACCATCCGACTCCTGCACTCCGACCCCCTCCTCACACTGCCCTTCCTGTTCACCACCCATTCATCCCTGCACATCCATTCACACCTACTATGTGCCTGACCCTGTGCTGGGACCCAGGGCCCAGGGTAAAAGACGGTCCTCTCCTGGGGACTCCCAGTCCAGAGGGAGGAACTCTGGGTAATGACTTCATTATAGTATAACGTGAGGGGGTGCTGAGAGAGAGAGGCATGAGCCGACATGCTGTGACAACTCTGACCAGGGGGATCGGGAAGGCGTCCTGGGTGAGGTGTCAGCTGAAAGATGGAAGGCTGAGAAGTTGGGGAGCCATAGAAGGAAGGCTTAGGGCTTAAGAAAGGGGGATAGGGGATAGAGAACGCCCCGGGACTGGTTGAACCCAGTGCGACCAGGAGCCAGTGGACTGCAGGGAATCCAAGGTCATTGGAACCCTGACCTGAACCTCCCGGGAGCCTCATGTAGGCAGCAAAGGAAGGTGCCTTTGTGGAAGGCCAGATGGCGTTACCTTGTCTCTTTCCCACTTGGGGGACGTCAGTGCCATGAACGGCGGGTTGTGGTTTACGTGGCCTCTCTGAGGGGCACAGCAGCCTTCTCCCCTTTCCCACCCCTCTCGATGCTCCATTCATGCGTCGTGCCCCACGAGGACCTGCTTGCAGCTCATAGAGATTCACTCCTGGATCGGCTTTGCAGCCCTATTTCTGGAGCCCCGAGTCTCCTCCAGAGCCTGGAGCCTCCTGGGGGAGGTTCCTAACATAAGAACCTGCCATGCAATAGGCACTCAACAAAGTCAACAGATTCTTGGGATACGAGTCTGCCCCGAGGAAGGCGCAGCCCAGAGCAGTAGGGGCCCGTGATTGCTTCTGAGGGGAAAGGCCTGCGGACCACAGGGGCTTCCAGCTCCTGGGAGGGGCCGGAAGCAGGCCCCGGGGCTCTGGCCTGCCTTCCTCCCCATAAAAGAAGAAAAGCCTCGTTTGTGGCTTGAAATAGGCCACGTAGTCAGGCTAAATCCAGCCCAGGAGGAGGCTCCTAGGGACCTGTCCACCTCGCTTCCATGTTGGCAGGAGGATTCTAGCAAGTGAGGCTGCCTTGCATTTCCTCTCTCCACAACCGACCGACCGACCAACCGACCGACCGCTTAACATCATGCACACGGGCAGGAGCAAGCGCAGCTGAGGCTGCACCTGGGCGCGGGCCTCCGTGAGGCTGTGCGCCCCTTGAGTCCTGGCTTCATGCAGGTGAACAGCTGCCAAGAAAAACAGCTCTGCAGCCAGGCCGTGCAGCCTAATGACGGTGCAGGAAAGGCTTGTGCTGGCAGTGTCTGAAGGTGGTGTTGGGCAGCCCCACGTAAATGCCATTTGCCCCGGACCTCCACCGAGGAGCAGCCTTTGGAGGGCCACGCCCTAACCCCGAGTAGATGAGATAACAGGACTAAGTGCTTGTTCCGAAGCCCTCAGGGTTGTCCTTGTTGGTTGGGCCTTGATTCACGCTCTGGGAGGAGGAATGGATGTCAGTGCGGCTTTGAGATGCCTGAGTCTGTGTGGCTGACACCTCGCACGCTGTGTCCTTCCTTCCAGCTGGTCATGCAGTATCTCTACTACGGAGGCCCGGAGTCGCTGCTCATTAAGAACAACGAGATCATGGAGGTGAGGCGTCCACAGTGGCGTTGGGGGGATGGAGGGCACTGGGGGTAAGCTCAGGGCATGGCACACGTCGGCAGGTCTGGGAACCTCGTGTTGGGTTTTTGTTTGGATGCAGGTTTGGGGGCCCTGTCTGACTCCTCATGGGAGGGTGGGTGCTTGGTGCACTAGCAAAACCCCTTCACTGAAACCGCTTTAACCGGCTTGCAGGTGGTTGCGGGGGGGGGGGGGGGGGGGGGGACACGGTCAGAGGAAATTTACTGAGGAGATTTACTGAGGAGGCTGAGTGCAAGCACAGCTGGGCTCCGTGTCCTCATCAGGAATGTCCTTGATGCCTTGTCCCTGGTCATTTGTAAGAGAATTCTGTCATCTAAGGACAGCCTTCCAGTCCCAGCTCGGCCCTGAGCAGAGGCTGGGAGCCGGCTCCCAAGCTCTCCTGGTTTCTCTGAGGTTGGCTGCCCCTCACTCCCTCAGTGTCATGGCCACCCCTGACCCCTGCAGCGCCCGGCCACCCCTCACTCCACAGCACCCTGGCCACCCCTCACTCCCTCAGCACCCCGACCGCCCCTCACTCCCATCTGCCTCGGGGACTCAGCCCTCTGCAGGGAACCTGTCCCTGCTCTTTCTGTCCCGAGAGGAAATGCAAGGCAGCCTCAGGATCTCCCCTGCCCCCTCCTGGAAGCGGAGCCCTTGTTGGTTTTCCGATTCCAAGGGGGAAGATTTGAACCAAAAGCTCAAAGCACTCTGCTCCTGAGCAGACACAGGACGCCATTCAGGCGTCTGCAGTCCAGGCCCCGGGCCGAGCAGAGAGGTCAGAACGCCACCGGGTGTCCCCGAGGCTGCCCCACCCACTGGCTAGAGCATGGACTCCGGGCCAGATTGGTTAAATCCAGGCTCTGCCCTTCGAGCTGTGTGAACTGGGACAAGTACTTAACTGCCCTGAGCCTCCGTTTCCCCGCCTATAAGATGGGGGTGATAATTCTACCTCATTGGGGTTTTAGGGTTTTAAGAGTTCCTGTGTATCAGGTGCTCAGAACGGTGCCTGGCACAGAGTGGGTGCCATAGAGCAGTGTCCTCACTGAGTGGCCCTTTATCCCTTTTTTACTCCGTGAAAGCTTCCTGAGTAAATGAGTGGCAGGATGAAGTGCTTTGTAAATGGCCCTCAGTGGTCACCCCCTTACACTCCCCCCAAAAAAGTTACTCTCCTGACTCTCCAGACCACCCCTCTGACCCTTCTCCTCTCCTTCAGCCCAGGCTACAGTCTCAGGACACAGGCTCTTTCATAAGCTTTTTTTTCCCCCAATTATTTCACAATTTTACAAGTTCTGGTGTGATTTTTATGGGTGTTTTTTTTTTTTTTTTTTTTTCCTTTTAATTGCCTTGAAAGGGAGAGGGAGATAGAGAAACATCAATAAGAGAGAAACATCCATTGGCTGCCTCCTGCACACCCCCTACTGGGGATCAAGCCCACAACCCAGGCATGCGCCCTGACTAGGAAGGAATCAAACCAGCAACCTCTGGGTGCATAGACGACACTCAATCCACTGAACCACACCGGCCAGGCTGTAACCATTTTTAAAAACTCTTTTCAAATCAAAATAGTGAGCGTATATTTAGGTCATGTAAAGAATGCCGAAGGGTTTGGTTAAAAAGAGCAGCTCACCCAACCCCCGGCCCTCCAAGCCTTTCCCCAAAGGCAGTCCCTTTGACAGGAGATTTAGCTCTTTATTCTCCTCCCTCACGCCTGTCCGTCCCTCAGCACACTTCTGCCAGCCATTCCCCCGGCTGGGATGCCAACAGACAGTATCCCTGCCCTCCCAGACCCTGGGAGGCGACGGGCATGACATCATGTCTGGTGTGAGCAGGGCTGTGAGGAGGGGAAAGCCAGGGTGGTGGGGGACGGGCGGAGATGGAGGGAGGCCACCTGGGATGAGGTGAAGTCTGGGGGGCTTCTCAGAGGAGGTGGTACTTGAGTGGAGTCCTAGGTGAACAGGGAGCCACCCACGTCCATATCCGTCTGGCTAACCCTGGCTTCCAGACAGAACCGTGTTAGGCATTTTGCTTGGCCTCCTGCTCTAGTAGATGTGAGTGTGGCTCCCTCCCAGCCCCTCCTTCCCCAGAGCCAACTCTCCCACGACAGAGTTCCACCTCTGTGTCTCATTCCTCCCGTGTCACCTCTGCGCTTTAAAATGAAGGTGTTGGCCGAAACCGGTGTGGCTCAGCGGATAGAAACCCAGGCCTGCGGACTGAAAGGTCCTGGGTTCCATTCCGGTCAAGGGCATGTACCTTGGTTGCGGGCACATCCCCTGTAGGGGGTGTGCAAGAGGCAGCAGATCAATGATTCTCTCTCATCGATGTCTCTAACTCTCTGTCCCTCTCTTCCTCTCTGTAAAAAATCAATAAAAATATATTTTATAAAATAAAATAAAATAATATAAAATAAAATGAAAATGTCGGACCCACAGTATTCTCGGTCCCTTCCCCTCGGGAACAGGGGGATTTTCCTCGCCTTCCACCTCCCAACCTCTAACTGGCTCTCTTACGGTTTCTAGCTCCTGTCGGCGGCTAAGTTTTTCCAGCTGGAGGCTCTGCAGCGACACTGTGAGATTATCTGTGCCAAAGGCATCAACACGGACAACTGCGTGGACATCTACAACCACGCCAAGGTAAGGGCCGCCCGGGCCGCCCGCGCTGACTGTGCATGTTCGCGGGCGAGGTGTCTCCGCACAGTCAGGCCCAGACAGGCAGAGCTCAGGCCGGCCCCGCTCACGCGGGACTGACCAGCCTGCACCCTCCCAGCTCTGGAATAATGCCCATCCCTTCCCCGCTCCCCTCCAGATGCAAGCGGGAGCCCAGACATCCCCAAAGCAGGGTGGTTTTTACCGAGTGCCTGTGCCCCGCAGTGCAGGCTGCTGCAGCCGCAGGTGGCCACTGGGTCCCGCAGAGGTGACAGGCACCCAGGGGCGGCCCCCGCAGTTGGGTGGAGCCTCACCTCAGGCAGCCAGGTTCTGGAACAGAGGTTTTCGGGGTGTGGGCTCCAATCCAGCATCGACAACATCCCCAGAGCACCTGTTGGGAGTGTATATTCTAGCGCCCCATCCCGACAGAATCAGAAACTCTGGGGGGGACGACCCCTGTGGCTTTGCAGGTGATTCTGGCGCCATGGTTACATCACCGGACGCTCACTTAAAATCCCCAGTCCTGGGACTTCTCACAGAGCAGGTCAATCAAGCTCTGCGGGGCATGGGTGAGGGGCAGCTGGGAGAGAGGGTGTTTTTCGAAGCTCCCCCTGTGATTCTGGGATGTTGCCGAGGTTGAGATCAGGATGTCAGGACTGGGGAGAGCGAGGGCCAGGTGGGATACTACTAATCAGCATCACTAGGGGAGAGTTTAAGTCTGCTTAGTTCCCGCCCCATGGCCACAGCCGGGTCCTGGCAGTGGGACCCAGGAACCTGTATTTTTAAAAATATATTTTATTGATTTTTTTCTAGAGAGGAAGAGAGAGCTATAAACATCAATGAGAGAAAAACATCTACCAGCTGCCTCCTGCACACCCCTCACTGGAGATATGCCCACAACCAAGATATATGCCCTTAATCGGAATCGAACCTGGGACCCTTTAATCCGCAGGCTGACGATCTATCCACTGAGCCAAACCGGTCAGGGCGGAACCTGTGTTTTTAACGAGCTCCCAGGGTGACTGTTGTGACTTCAGTGCCAAGGCCAGTCTTCACTCTAGTCTCCGGGACCCACTGGTTTTAATCTAGTTCATCTCACACGAGGGGATCTGGGACCGAGAGGATTCATTATCCCAGGTGCTGCTTCGTGCTGTTTTCTGTGCTCAGCACAGAGGACTCACATTTGCTAGGAAGAAATAATGAGATAAGACCAGGAATCAATTAAAAACAAACAAAACAACTTTGGGTAACTGGAGCTCAGAGTCCTTGCCTCTGACATCCACATCTCTGCAGGGTGACAACTCCTGTGTGAGTCATTCTCTCATGGCTCATCGGGAAAAACCAGGGCTGCATGTGAGATGTTATTTTCTGTCTTAAACCAACATTCAACGACTCCTTTTCATGGGCAGACTCCTGTGCCAACAGCCTTGTGGCACCACCTCTCCATATTCACCACAACCCTTTTAGAGATAAATGCTATCCTCGGTCCCACGTCATCATAAGGAAACAGGCACAGAGAGGTTAAGCGACTTGCTTAAGGCCATACAGCGGTTGCTGAGGGGTTGTTGTGTTCTTAGTGTGGTAAAATGTATGTAACATGCAGCACACATTTTAGCCATTTCTAAATGTGCAGTTCAGTGCCATTAAATCCATTCACATTGCTATGCAGCCATCACCAGATTTTTCTTCTCACATTGACACTCTGTACCCATTAAACACTAACTCCCGTGTCCCTCTCCACCCAGCCGCCAGAAACCACCATTTTACTTTCTGTGAGTCTGACTGTTCTAGGACATCTCCTGGAAGTGGAGTCACACAGTATTTGTCCTTCTTTAACTTTAGCACCGAGTCCTCACGGTTCACTCATGTCTCGGCATGTGCCAGAGTTTCCTTCCTTTTTAAGGCTGAATGATGGTGTTTATCCATTCATCCACCATTGACATTTAGGCTGCTCCCACCTTCTGGCTATTGTGAATGATGCTGCTGTGAACGTGGCAGACAAACCCTGTGTTCGCGCCCCTGGTTTCAGTTCTCTGGGGTATGTACCCAGGCGTGTAAACCTAGATTTGTCTGACTCCAAAGCACAGGTTCTTAACTTTGGGTTTACTGTGTGGCCTAAAAATTGCTTGAAATGTTTACAAAGATCCTTGATACTAAAAAAAATATTTTCTGATTGGTCATCAGTAAATCAAAGGTACAACAGGCTACTTACTTCACACATGCACGCGTGCGTGCACAAAGCACTGGGTGTTTTGGTTAAGTAACAGTTTTACCAAAATCTGGTTTCTCAGGACACAGACTTTTTCTTTTTTTTATTGATTTTTTTACAGAGAGGAGGGGAGAGAGATAGAGAGTTAGAAACATCGATGAGAGAGAAACACCAATCAGCTGTCTCCTGCACACCCCCTATTGGGGATGTGCTTGCAACCAAGGACCGGAATCGAACCTGGGACCCTTCAGTCTGCAGGCCGATGCTCTATCCACTGAGCCAAACCGGTTCAAGCAGGACACAGCCTTAAAAAAAAAAAAAAATCTCTCCATTTCCTAGTCCATGAATGGGAGGTGGTGATGCTACCTGCCTCAGGGAAATTTGAGAATCCAATGGGATGCTCCCTGGGAAATGCCTAGCAGGTGCCCGGCACATTGTAAGCTCTCAATAAATGATTGCTGTTCGTTTCTCTGCTCTGAGAGTTAACCATTCGTTCACACATTCCACAAACATGAAGAGTCTGCCAAACGCCATGCCTTCTGCTTGGGCTCCTAACGGTGAGCCAGGCTTGCAAAGTGCCTCCTGTCCTGATGTAGTCTATCAGGAACCGCGTCTCTAGACCAGTTTCTCAAGTTCACTATCGAAAGTTCAGGCTGCAAAACTCTTCGCTGGGGGACTGCCCGTCGTGGGGATGTTCACCATAGCTTCTACCCATTAAATGCCAGTGGTACACACACCATCACCAGCCCATTCGTGATGACCAAAAACAGCTCTAGGCTTTTCCCATTGTCTCCTGGGAGGCAAAAATCACCCCTGCCCTAAAGACATAGAATTGTTGTGAGAATTAAATGGGTTAATACTTGTCACAACCTTAGGATTGTGTCTACAACTCCATTCGCATGCCAGTGATCTGTAGTGTTACAAAGAAACACAAAACCCAGGGGCTGCAACAGTGAGCGCTTAACTCATTGTATACAAGAGTTGCCAGCCAGGCTGAAAGGTTCTAGTCTCAGCGGGTCTCGCTTCTGAGGTCAGCTGGCTGGTTGATCTTGCCTGGCTCTGCTGATCCTGGTTGGACCCTGTTGCTGTCAGAGGTCTCAGCTGGGACAGCTGGTTTGACTCTACTCGGTCTTACATGGTCACTCACCTCCAGACCGGCTGGCTCGGGCTTGCTTTTGTGGCAGAGGCTGGGTTCTGAGAGAAAGGGCACCCTGCCACGTGAACGTAGCTCAGAGCTGGTGACTCTCCCTTCTGCCATGTTCCGTTGGCCTGAGCAGGTCACAAGCTCAAGAGACAGCCCTTCGATGAAGAAGCTTCAAAGAGTGTGACTATAGCCAAGGGTGGAGGAGCAGGGCCACATTCAGTCCACCTACCGCAGTGGTCAGCAAACTGCAGCCGCGGTTTGCCGCTCTGCTGACAAATGAGTTTGCCGACCACTGACCTAGACTCTCCATTCCAATAACTACAGGCTGTTGTTGATCCTTGTGATTAAGCCCCTATCACAGTGATCAGCAAACTCATTAGTCAACAGAGCGGCAAACCGTATGTGGCTCGCGAGCCGCAGTTTGCCGACTACTGACCTACCGTGATAGGTATCCACCGTTATTACCTAGGGAAGCCATGGGGTGCATCTCAGAACCATAACCATCTCCCACTTCTTCTCCACTCCCCGCAGTTCCTTGGAGTCACCGAGCTCTCCGCCTACTGTGAAGGCTACTTTCTCAAAAACATGGTGGTCCTCATTGAGAACGAAGCCTTCAAGCAGCTCCTCTACGACAAGAACAGCGAAGGCGCAGGCCAGGACGTGCTCCAGGACTTACAGAGGACGTTGGCCATCAGGATTCAGTCCATCCACTTGTCGTCTTCCAAAGGCTCCATCGTGTGAGGCGCCCAGTGCAGGGATGACTCCCCGGGACATCCCAGTGCTCCGGCAGCGCTGGCTCCACACAGACACATGTTTCACCCGGCGTCTGCTTTCTCCTGCGCCCGGGAGCTGCCTCCACTGCCTCAGATCCCCTTGAAGAAGCAAATTCAGCTCCACGGGTTCCTGTTGAACAACAGAGGACATCCCGCTGGTCTGCAGAGCAGGGCGCAGCTGGGTCCAGAGCTTGAAGGCCAACCAGGGGCCGCCAAGCTAACCCCATCCAAAGGCGCCGCTGGGTCGCTGAGCATCTGTTGGGGGGACCACTGTCAGAAGGATGGACTGGGGACCACAGGTCATCCGGGTTCCAGGTGGGCAGCTGGGACACCTAACTGCAGAGAGTTTTGTTGCACGCGAAGGACCATAGCAGCCACAGTTGAGCAAGGGTCAACCCTGATTGCAGATGGGTGAGACTGTTACCAACAACGAAGAAATCATTTGACAAATTTTTAGGGGTGGGAACTTTTTAAAATGTTCATTAACACACACACACACACACACACACACACACAGGGCAGCCTGTAGTTTAACATATATTTCTAAAAGCATAACAGTTCGTTTACAACTGAATTGTGTTTAGGGATCTGTGTTTTGAGATTTTTTTTTCCTTTAAAAAAACAACAACAGTAAGACAACAGGTCCATACTGTATAAATCTGCATCTGACAAGATATTGCTGATATTCTATCCAAGGTGAAATCATACTCCTGCCTTAGTGATCTCGGTTACACACAAGAGGTGCACTGCCAATAGTTCTCTCTCACTCAGTAGTCGAAAACAGCCTGCATGCTAGTTGTGGTTTCGGGGTGAGATTGGAATTAGCCCCACATAAGAAAACATGCATTTGCATGGGCCGCATCTGCGAAATGTTATGTTTGTGCTTCGTTTTTGCCAAGGTAAAAAAAACACACACACAAATATTCCATCACTTCCTACTAAAAGTCCATTGGTTGAAAATGGACGTGTCCATTTCTTTTCCTAATGATGAATGATTCTGGGATGCTTTTGCACATATGTGTTCATAGATGATGCTGATTGGGGGGAATGGGGGAGAGGAAAGCACGTCAGAGGATTTACTAGTACTTCCAGAGTTTTCTCTGTATTCTCAGAAGATGTTGATAGTTTGTTACTAGCCAGAGCCTATGACTATGTTAGATTATTTTTCAAGAGGAAACCTATATGATAGGACGGCTTCTTTCTGTATTTGGAGAGTGTACAGTATAGGGTTATCTATAATGAAAGTTTCTATCCACAGGGTTCCATTTGCTCTGCCATATATTATAAGCAACAGCGATGGGTCAAGTGCCACAATATTATTCCAAATAATGTCGGAGTTGCTGCCTCTGTTCTTGTCCTTCCCTTTGAAACCTAGCTCCATGCAGTGGAAACTGGGAGGAATGACTTTTACCCCTCAGGATGGCCAAGTTTTGTGGACAAACCTATTTCCTAGCATGCCTTTGGGAAAGCCCTGTGCAGAGACTGAGTCTCAAGGGAGCTGCTGTTCGTCCATCGTACCTGCTCCCTGAGCCACTGTTCAGAGGACCAGTGTCGTGCTCTGTCTCATGGGGTGACCGTGGAGAACCCGGGCCACGTCTGTCTTCAGTGTTGGTTCTCCTGTGATGCCCCTACGCAAGGCCTCTCTTCCGCCTGGTCCTTTGCAAACCTCCTCAGGCCCTATAAGCATCCACAAAGAAGGAAAAGGTACTGCAGAGGGGTCCTGGTGACAAACACACAGCACCTGTGTGACCCGTCGCCATCTCCTGCATCCTGCGTGTGCTCAGAGATACCGGGTGGATGTTCCCTTATTTGCGACGGACTTCCTGTGACTGCCTAATGCTATCGGGGCCTCTGGGCATTGACTGGTACCGTGGCAACTCCTGACGGGCTTCTGTTCTAGTTCGGTGTGCTTTCTCTGTCATTAAAAGAAATGATTTTCCCAAATCGCGCATTTTTTGTATAGACACGTGAGCTCTTCTTTTTAATTTTTTTTTTAAGTATATAGTCGGCACACATCCTTATATTGGTTATATTAGTTTCAGGTGTCAACATAGCGATTCAACATTTTTATACCTTATGATCACCCATTAATCCTAAAGATCATCTGTCACCGTAGAACTTATCACAATATTACTGAGTATATTCCCCTTCACCTTTTCACCCCCAAAACTCCCTTCTGGTCTCTGTTTCTCTGAGTGTTTTGTTTAAGATTCCACATATAAGTGAAACCATATGGTATTTGTCTTTGCCTGACTTATTTCACTTAGCGTAATATCTTCTAGGTCCACCCAGGTTGTTATCCATGGCGAGATTTCCTTCGTTTTCGCTGTGTGATGTTCGTGTGTGTGTGTGTGTGTGTGTGTGTGTGTGTTCATGCGCGTTATCTTTCTAACCCATTTATCTGTTGCTTCCATATTTTGACTGTTAAAAATAACGCTGCAATGAACATGGGAGTGCAAAAGTCTCTTCCAATTCTTTGGATAAATACCCAGAAGTGGAATTGCTGGGTCAAATGGTTGATCTACTTTTAGTTTTTCAAGGAATTGCTACACTGCTTTCCATGGTGGCTGCACCAATCTGCAGTCCCTCCCACAGGACACAGGGTTCTCTTTGTCCACATCCTAGCGGATGTGTTATTTGTTGATCTTTTTGTAATAGCCATTCTGGCTGGTTTGGGGTGGTAGCTCTTTATGGTATTAATTTGCATTTCCCTAATGTTTCCTAAATTAGAGTTGCAAGCAGTCGCTCTCCCAAACGCCGTATCAACTCAGGAATGTGAGACACGTTTGTGACACTTATGACATGAGTCTGAAGCTCAGACCCCACAAATGACTGAGTAGGTCCCAGACTCACTAGATCCCCGACTTTAAGTTCAGAACTGGGGACCATGGCCCTTCAGAAAAGGGGGTGGAGTGGTGGGGGCGGGGGGGTGGGTGTCACAAATCCCCAAAAGAAACCAACTGCTAGATGTCAATTCCAGAGAAACCCAGGATCACCGTCTCAGGTCCGAAGCCAGGCCCGTGACCTTCTCTGCCACTTGAGTGCATGACACTCACTCCCCCCCCCCCTCCCTGAGAGACCTCCCTGGTGAAACTTCCTATCATCTCTGGTCCCCTCCTCCCCCCCCCACCCCACCCCACCGCACTCACCACCCCCCACACCCCCCCCTGCTGGCCAATCCCTTAAGCCCAGCAGCAGCACTGTGCCTCTGGACAGGGCCACCGCAGAAACCCGTATCATGCCCATTTTTTCACCCTCTTTAAAAATAACCCAGCAGGGGGAAAAAATAAAATAAATAACCCAGCAGATTTTAAACTTCCTCTCGGTGGGAAAAAATAGAACGGGCACCCAGCAATCACACCGCACACGAGCTCCCCTTCCTGATGAGGCAGGCAGATAGCAAGGGCCCCGCAGAAGGACACATCTCCAAGTTTAGCTCTGAATGTGAAAAGACAATCTGTCTGCATGAATAGGCAATTAAAAGAGATGTCCTGGTAGCATTGGTATGCTCTTCAGATGTTGTTTTGTAGGCTTAACTTTCCTTCGGATGAGTGTAGAATCTTAATGCCATCTCACACCTCTGGGACGGAGGGCTGCCCGGGAGGAGGCGGGACAGAGGGCTGCCTGGGGAGGAGGCGGATGGCGTCACAGCCTCTGGGCTGGGACCAGGTGTCACCTCTGGCCCTGTGGCTGCGTCGGCTGCTTGGATGACCGTGGCCAGCCCTCTCCTCCATTCTGGACCTGTTTCCACTCAGAATGAGTTTTCTGGCTGATGTTCTGTGTGCCTGGAATACGTTCGTGAATGAGAGCACATGTGATAGGACATTCAGGAGGGCTTAAAAACAGACCTCTGTCTACAATGTTTTCAATAAAATAGGCAGGCATTCAAATAAAAGCCTTAAAAAAAGGCTCCAAGGATATTTTTTTATGAGGATGCATCTCACCAGATGATGGCCTCGTGACTACCATCTCCTTTTTTGTTTTGTTCTTTTGTTTTTAAATGACTATAGATTCACAGGAAGCTGCAAAGATAGTATGGAGAGGTCCCATGTACACTTCACCCAATTCCCCCCAATGTCCAGTCCAGTGCAATATCAAAACCAGGAAAATTATGTTGATGCGATGCATGCGTCTATTTCTCCACCATTTGATGACATGTGGAGATGTGTTTAACCACCACAATCACTACCCCATCACAAAGACCTCCCTCATGCTGCCCCTTTATAACCTCTCCTAACCCCTTCCACATACACCTTCCCTATCCCTGGCATTTAGGCATTCTGAGAATCCTCTGTAATAAAAGCCTAATATACTAAATGTCCAGTCATCCAGTCATTCGTTTAGCCAGAGTTATATGCTACTGATATGCTAAGGCAGCTCAACCACTAGCGAGTTGACATGCACTGACCACCAGGGGGCAGATGCTCCAATCGGTAGGTTAGCTTGCTGCTGGGGTCCAGCTGATCAGGACTGAGAAAGATGGGCTGGATATCCCCTGGAACCCTCCCACAGTTCCTCCCTGGCTGGCCAACCTCTCATGTCACTTTCCAGCCCAACCATGCACTGGTGGGATCCCTCAGCCTGGCCTGTGCCCTCTCACAATTCAGGACCCCTAGAGGGATGTCGGATGAGCCAGTTTTGACCTGATCCCACAAGCCAGGCTGAGGGACCCCACTGATGCACCAGGTCTCTGGTGTTACATAAATGGAAGCATAGAGTAGATGGCTTTACTCAGCACAAGGACCTTGAGACCCATCCACAGATGTTGCATGTATTAAGAATCTGTCCTTTTTTTGTTCTGAGTAATATTGCCCAGGGTCCCATCTCCGTTGGATCAAATACTTGAACTTGTCAGGAAGCTTGGTGGTGAGGCAGCTTGGTTTTGGCAGCTGACTCTCTGATCATCGCTCCAGAAAACAAGTGTATCTCTTGAAAGCTGGACATAACTTCCTGGTCCTGTCCAGCATGGAGCTGAGACTGTCCCATGATGTTAGGCCCACAGCTGGGTGTTCATGATGGGTCCCTGGGGTCCACTGCTCCCACCTGGGCTAAATGGTCCTTCATTTCTGCAACAGGGTCCTTCTGTGATTGACCAATTTCCAGACGTTTCACTGATGGTGTAAGACAGTGGTCAGCAAACTCATTAGTCAACAGAACAAACATCAAATATCAGAGGGGCCCGCCTCTCTGCTGTGGCATTGAGTACTCAACCTCTCCCTCTGCCCCCCCCCCTTTTTTTAAATATATTTTATTGATTTTTTTATTTTTATTTTTACAGAAAGGAAGGGAAAGGGATTGAGAGTTAAAAACATCAATGAGAGAGAAACATTGATCAGCTGCCTCCTGCACACCCCTCAATGGGGATGTGCCCGCAACCAAGGTACATGTGCTTGACTGGAATCAAACCTGGGACCC